TGGAAAGAAAATAATGGATTTGCTCTTAGGGTTATAATTTTCCTTTTTCTTATGCTTTCCCCTTCCCTCTCGTATTTCTTTTATCAGACTTTTTGTTAAAATATAATTTCTGCTAATTTTTTTTCCCTCCCTATCTTCAGTATTTCCCGAGAAATGGCACATCAGTTCCCACAAACCTTGTTTTCAGATTTCCAGAAGTTTTTCTAGCCTGCTGCATCCTAATGGCTGATTTGCTTTCAGTTTTGCTCCTTGCCATTTTGCTCATTCTTCAGATTATGTGGAGCAGAGATATTAAATTGGTCTGAAAGTGGCAGAAAAAAGTAGCATCCTTTACAATTATCAAGTTTCACTATCATTCCTCCACTTCCCTAATATCAGCATCTGTTTTGAAAAAGATTTTTTATAATCTTCACATGTTGATAGCTTTCATGTCCAAATATTAAACTTGCCAAGAATTCAAGAATGCCTACAACTTTATACTCCTTTTTCATTAGAGGAGGTGATATTATGAAGAAAAGCTTGAAAATGCATAAAAACCTCAGTTCTACATTAAAAGGTTGACCAGATCATCAGGTACCTGTATGAAGACATTTCACAGGAATGCATGAGAGAGATAAGAGAGAAGAAAAGGTCAATAAACTTTCCTGGAGAAATCAGTCTTCCTTTTGGCAAAATGGAACCTGTGCTCCATCTTGTGTTTAAATTCTTCTTCTTCATCTTCTGGCAGGGATGCCATGAATCTTGGGCTAGCTGATACCCACAGAAATGTTAAAACTGTGGGGAAAAAAGTAAGAAAAAGGAAATAAACTTATGCCAACATAATTATGAGGTTCACTCTGAACATTCCTAAATAACTTCAAATTTAAATGCTTTGAGTCTTGACAACTTTACCACCTAATTATCATAAATTTTATGATCAAAGAATCACATTTCATATGAAGCAGCTGCCACTTTCATGATAGCACCTCAACAGGTTGAATAGGTACACTAGTGCATAATATAAATGCTGAATGGTACAAAACTGTGTTTGCCTGCATTCTTTGAAGTTGCCCATCAGGAACACCTCAAATAGTGACTTTGGAGACAGATGTTGCACAACTGGATGTTGCACTTAGATAGCCCCCCCCACAGCCTAAACTATAGGAACTGGAAAAATATAAATATATATTTGGCATCCTTATTCAATTTTGATTCTATTCAACTCCATTTTGTTGTTTCTGATATCATAAGATGGTGAAAAACTGAAATTCATTGATCACATCCATGCTATTGTGTTTCAAGAAGCCTGCAATGCTAGAGCTGAATTCATTAATCATTTACAGGTTTCGAAAAAGATTAAACATTCAGCTTCTGCATGATAACCCACATGAAAATTCCATGTATGACAGGATGTATGATCATATGTTTGCCATATACCACCATATATATATTCATATATTAACAACTGTATGGTGCATAATATATTTTAATTGCATTGCAATATTACTTATGATGGGCAAATGGCATCATGCCTGATATGTGGTGAATATGCATAGACAAGTCTTATGGTTATAAGTAAAACCAATATATGAAAATGTATGGGGTCATATATTTTCAGTCTCATATGATTTTATGCGACTTGTGTCAAACCCCATACATGTTTCATATATGTCCATATACGAATTGCACTAAATGGTCATATATGCCCCATATATGTTGGACTGGTTTAATACATGACCATTTCATATATGGTCTTATATGAAATTTTCATGTGGGAAAGCCCTATTTTTCAAAGCTTTGACCATACAGTAAATGCTGAAAGTCTCAGGGATTGATTTCTTTAGAAATGTGGAATGGCCTGGAAACTCTGCTGATCAGATGAGAACATTGGGGTTATCCTGAAAGATCATGTTGAGGCTCTCATGCATATGGAGGGTAAGCAGCATGGATTCTCCCAGGAAACCTTGCAAAGCAACATCATCAGAGCATTGAAGGACATGGAAGGTGATACAGAACTCTTAAAGTGTTCCTTTTCATCTTACCCTGCTTGTCTTCAAGCTGTCAGAGATGCACAAAAATTATTAGAAGTACATGTTTAGATTTAAAATGAATGCTCTTTCTCATGATGTAAGAGTTCTTTTCCTAGCTCTTATAGTTTAGGCTGTGGAGGGGGGGGGGGCTATCTATGGGCAACACCTGGTACAACAATGCTCCAGTGCACATGGCAAAGAAAGTCTTGAACAGCTTGGCCTTATCAACATGTCACATCCTTCTTATTCACTTCATTTGGCCCCATGGAACTGCTTGTTCTCTGACTTAAAAAGTGAAACTTTGTGATCACCAGTTTGAGAGCTCTAAACATGCTGTGTTTCTTCATCAGGACACTTTGACCTCACCAAGGAGGGTTGGTGCTACTGTGTTGATTCCTGATTTTCATGGATGGAGATGAACATACACTACTGGTGAAAATTGTGGTAACACTTGACAAAAGTCAAATTTTTTGCATATAAATCATTTTTTAGATTTGGACCTTATTACAATTGATTATTGTTTATGTTTGTTTGTTATGTTGATTATGTAGTGGCAGTGCATCAAAAATGGTGCATTTACATAGGAGAAATTATACAAATGGGCCTACAAAATGAAGTATAAACAAAACCAATTATTAATCCAGTACAGAACTCTATGCTGGAACTACTAGTGTGTTAGGTAACCCTCAGCATTGATTGCAGCCTGGTACCTTCTTAGCAATGAGTTAACAAGGCATTGGTGATTGCTGTACTTCAGGTTTTGCTTGTTGCTTGCCCATACAGTAAAAACCTTGTGCTTCAGTTTTACCTGTGGGCAAAACTGAAGCACAAGGTTCTCCATTCAATTGAGGTATAGACTGAATGGCAAGGAGTCCCAATCATGTTGAAAGATGAAGGATCAGGTCCATAAATGTTGCATACAGATGGAAGCATTTTTGGCACCAACACCTCATTGATCTACCTGATAGCATTTACTTTGTCATTTAGCCCTTGGATCCTGCCCACAGCCCTCCTGGATACACAACACCAAAGCAAAACACTCACAGAATGTTCCATTGTAGCTACAGTGCACTCTGGCAGATAGTCTTCTCCAACTCAGATATATCTCATGTTATCACTACCAAAAATGGAGATGCGTGTCTCATCACTCCATAAAATTTTACCTCAAATCTTTTTTGGTTGACTGTGGATATTCTTTGGCCCATTTGATTCTCTTTCCTCTCTGTTACTTATTCAGGAATGGCTTTTTTTCAAGGTAATCTTGCCTTCATCCCTGGATCAAATAGCTTATACCACATGGTACTACTACTGACAATCACACAACTGTCACTTAGGACTTTCCTGATGTCTCCAGAAGTTTCTTTCCTGTTGTTCAAAGCCATTCTTAACCATCTTATAGCTATCTGTGGAATTGCTGCTTCTTCTATTCCCTTTCCAGCTTTGTTCTCAAAATTTACACATCCTTCACACAGCTTTGCACAGCTATGTCCATTGGAAGTCATTGCACAATTACGCAGTTTTCTCGAATATCTCGGTAACTGTACCCTTCTCTTCTCAACGTCATTGCAGTAGAGCTCTTTTCAGGTGACCAGTCTACTCTTTGGACAGGATTCATTACCATATTCTAGGGGGAAAATCCATTTTTAAAAATAAAATAAAATTTATTTGGGTGACATAAAATGATGTATGACCAAAGAAGGTGATATGAATAGTTATATCAAACATTCACATAATAAAATGACACTTGCAATAACAATAGACACTATGCAATATAACTTAAACATCAATGGTCAACAAATGTACTGTATATTTAAACCATTACATATAAACTGCGAGAGTCAATTTTCCTTTTAAAATATTTACCTGCTGCAAAAATTACTTAATTTCATGAAGAAATTGTATTATTTGATGGAAAATGCAGTAGAACCATTCTCTAGCTGACAACAAATCAAGGTATTATTTACACCATGATACCAGTAACTAGAGTGCAATAGTTTAAGATACTCGAAAAAAATATTATCTTTGGTCAATTGTATCCACAATTTTGGCCACTAGTGTAAATGCACAGGATGCTTGCTTTGAGAATTGAACATTTCAAGCAGAAACTTTCTTTGGTAAGGAAGTAATCTTGAACTTTCAGAATGATCCTTGTATCTTGTCCAAACTAGCTTTGGCAGAGGGGGATAGAGGACACACTCACCTTCTAGCAGGAGAGGAAATACAGGAGCAAAGCTCATAGAAACAGACTGGAAAAAGAAAATCTCCAATCCCAAATGTACAATAACAATGAAGAGGGTCACAAGGGTTGACAATCGAGTCCTGCAAGAGTTGGATTAGACCACTCCAAGTATTTCCCACACTTACTCTGCTGCTTCTGAACTACCAAGCCAATCTATAAGACAGCTTACGTTTTATAATGGATGTGAATGGCACAATGCACAAGAAGAAATGCCAAGATGAGGTTTACGGTCCCGTACAGTCGTGCTGCAGCAACAGGCACTGTAACATAAGGAAGTGAGATGTCTGTGAATCACAAGAAGGTACATTTTGGCAGAATACTTGACTGGCATAGTTATATTGAATACATCAGTAGATGAGCACCTTGCAGGTTGGTGTCAGATGAGGCCTTGACTCCAAGAAAGAGATTCTGTTCCACATAAGATCGTACAGATAGTCCCATGTGAATGAAGGCAACAAATGCCATCCATCCTCTAAGGGCATAAATCACTCCACTCACATATCTCCCCATTGAACACTTTCACACACTCCAACCTAAAAACAATTCTATCTTCAAATAATTAGTCAAAAAGTTGGATTGATGATCTCTTCACAGAGAGAGATCTATACTAAAGTAATAGATTTGGTTATCACTTCAAGGAGAGCTATTCCCTCCAGTATGGGTAAGACAAGATCCCATACTGTGTGCTGGCCATTCACTATTACTTCATGAGACTCAAGTTGTTTGAACTACACCCACAAAAAAAAACAATTGCTCATAGAATTTATGCATTGCTTTTCTGCAGTTTGAAAGGTGGAGTTTAAAGCCTGAGTCGTGTCTTGAGAACTTTGGGGACGTGTCGGATGGTGAGAGAGATGCGAGTCCTGCGCTGGAGGCACTCTCCTTCTAGTGCCTGCGTCCTGGACAAGTTCCATATCACATTCTCTCCTTTCACAGGATCTGAGATTGTTTCTTTGATACCATGTAAGTATTTGCTATAAAAGTCATGGCAGAGCACTGAAAGACTTCTGGATTCCAACAAGAGGCTCCCTAAATAGCGATCCTCTACCTGAAATCAAACAGTAAACTTACAATAAAGAAACAAGTAATTGCATAAGTACCCACATGAAAATTGAAATATGAGACCATATATGAAGCAATACTTGTGTAACTGACTCAACATACATGACCAGATATGGCAAATATGAAAATATATGACCACATACACTTTTGTGTCTCAGCTCTTAAAATTGCACCATGATGCCCCCACATGCAGAGCCACATCTTGCCTGTGCCTGAAGCCACACAATACTATTTGGCAACATGTGTGATAACATACAAGCGTTTTTTCATAAGTCATTTGAACTAATTTTTTTACTGTGCCAATTAAATGGTATATGGACACTTAACCCTTTCACTGGCATATTCTTTTCTTTACACATCCCTGTATTGAGATTTTTGCTTCTGGTGCACCATGGTATGCTCTAATTATATATTTTTTAAATGTTCCCTTGCTTACTTTATTATGTAAGCGTATAACAGCACTGGTACAGATTGTCTCAGGAACAAAGCACAAGAAGAAATCTCAAAAGAAGAGACACTTTCATGATCAAGTTAACTCAGAGCATTTCAAGGATCAATGGATGCACAACCTTAAAATTAGCCTCCCAAGAGTTCTGTGAAAGTTCCTTCAGTGTGGCATTTATATTATTCAATAAGGACTTGCAGTCTGATGTTTGACATCACCATATTCACTGTTATAGCCATGAGGTTGTCAAGTGTTCAGACCTGAGAGCCAAGGAAAAATTCCTTCAGCTGTGGAATCAGGTCAGTCATAAGGGGTCAGGGGTATGGTTATACTCAAAGACTTTCAAGCTCCCATCCTGAAAGGAGCATGCTCACAAAATTTTTCAAAGGGCATGTCACATTTTCATGTGGAATGACGATGCCCTGTGCCAGGACTTGTGGATGATATAATTTAATGACCTGAAAGTATCTTGGACAGCACTTCCCAAAACTAAATGACAATGATGGGGATTTCCAGTCTCATAAACTGTGTCTGGTCATCTGACAGGATCTTCCATAACTCCAGGCATCAGGTAAGATCCTACTTCATAAAAATGCCACATCCCATTTCCCAAATAAAAATGGAGCTCCACTCATACTCTGTCAGCCAACCAAGTACCTAGGTGTGATCATTACTATCAGCTAAACTTCATTCTTCACATTGAGTACCTGTACAAAAAATGTTACAGCCAATCTTTCCATGCAATACAGCTATTAAGATTGTGCCAAAATTCCAAGGCAGTTGAAGACTTCCTGTATTTTGCATTATTCCCTGCCTTCTTTGCAGTGCCCCTGTCTTTCTGGCACAAGCAAGAAAGGAAGATAAGAAAATTTTATTCATAGCATCCTTCAACTGCTAGCCCACATCATGCATACAACACCTCAAGGATATGGAACAAATCCTGTGAACCAAACCACTTTCTCGACAAGGTAACATCAATCTGCAATCTCTACCACAATTACAACACACGCAAGAAAAGAACCAGTATTCCTGTAGTGAAAGGGCTATTTCATGAGACTTTCCTATGTAGGGTCTCAAGAGGAGATGTGATCACACTCTAAAACTTTGGTCTCTGGATACTCTCCATCTCCCTCTCTTCTTCTTAACCCTTTTGCTGCTGTTCACGCCATAGAGCGTATTCATGCAATGAACCTCCACTACCTTGCTTGGTAGGGAAAGGTTGGCTGGGCATTTAAATCCTCAGCAGTCAAAGGGTTAATCTCTAGCCCTTGTGATTGTTTGATTTCTGTTTCCAATTTTCTGACAACCTGAACCCTAGGACAATAAAATATATTTATATTTATTTCATATTGAGAGTCAAACACTTCTTCCAGGAAAGGGCTAGGAAGTCATTAACCCTTTACATGGCACTGTCTTCATTGGAGACACATTTTAAATGTCCATAAAATACAATGGTGGGTTGTAGTGCATGCAGCAGATAATCTGCATTTCCCTTCTGTAACAAGCAAGTTTAAGCAAGAGTTCAGTTTTCCTAAGATTCTCTCATTTATGAAATGTTCATTAATTTTTAAATTGTAAATTAGGAACTTTGCAGTGCAACAGAAATTTCAGTTTGTACATCCAATGTAATCCATGTGATGGGGTGCAATACACCTATATGTAGGCTTTTGATTGATGTACATGTATTTCATGGTTTCTTTGTTCTTGTCCCAAATGCAAGGAAAAACATTAGAGTCTTCATTTGAAGACATTGCCATATTGTTCCCATTTTTTCCACATGCCCTTCCTGTAGATTCCATGCAGGTCTGCAAGTCATTTGTCCCACAAATGCTTGAGTTTTGTTACCTGTTTCTTCACCTCTATTCCTGTCCACTATACCAAGGTCCAGAATTGACAAAAGCAAATATTGCAATCAATTTTCTTTAAAGAATCAGTGCATATGTTGATTCTTCTTGAAGTTACTTGGAGAGAAAACTTCATCTAGATCATTTCAGAGGAAACAAAAATGCTGTCATGTCAGGCACTCGTAGCTTTCATGGAATGGTGTTCCTATGAAGTGTTTCATGGGACGAATTTCAATATGGGATTGGTAAAGGTTTCCCAGTATCCACTTTATTGATCAGAGAAACAAAGAATATGATTGCCCGTCATGGTTGATCAACTGATATTGACGAGTTGTTCTGAACCTTAGTATCTTCTTACCAGTAATAGCACTCTACAACTTGTATTTGCCAAAGTGAATTTTGATTGACTTCATACATGGCTATCAGTCATTGATGAGCCTCAGAAATCATTCAAGGTCTACTCTGACTGAGGAGCATCTTTGCAATCAAGGAATCATGACTTCATTCATTGATTATTTGTATTTACTCATTGAAAAACTGACTTGCCAAAGAACTGAAAAGGCAGAAAAAAATATGTGGCATGAGTAACTGATGTGATATATGGTTGGGTTAATCTCTTCTCAGCTCAAAACAGAAAAGATGTGAATGACAAGAATTTTTTTTATATTTTTTTAAAAGACAGGACATGTGGTGGACACAAATGACAATGGACCAATTACAGTACACAGAGAAGGAGGAGGTGCACGCTTGGCACAGGCACCACATCTGTATTACAGTCCCTCAGGCAGAGACATCCCTCAATGTTCCTTTAGGAAGCCAAAGGGACAGCTCACAGATTGCCTAAGCCCATGACTGGCAAGAGTGATTTTTAAGGTGAACTACATCTCCTAGACATGGCACACAAAGTGGCATGTATGTTATCCCATGCTAAGCAGACACTTCCCAGGAAAGCAGGTGGGACGCCTGTCAGCGGAGGAAGAGACCACTGCCACATGGGCTCAATCCCTCACCTCCTGAGTTGCCACCCAGAAGCCAGAACCAAACGGCCACCAAACCCCGGTTGAATGATGAGAAATTGAAAGTTGAATTAGGAGGTTCAATTGGTTTGAACTCTCTTCAGGAATCAGCCTTGCCAAAGAAAAAAAATGTATTTGATGATTTATTCTTGAGTTTAAAATGTGTTTAAGACGAGGGAAATATAGGATGTAGGAACTGTAAGGGAGATAGTGGCAGGTAGACCACCTTTGAAGGCAGACAGGGAAATAATATCCCAAAGAATAATGAATTGGCACATTGAGGTAAATTTAGGTGTGATAGGCAGGTTTAGGTGTTATAGGAGTTTTATCCTTGTAGGATAACAAAGGGATCTCCTTTTGAACTCAGCTGGGTAAAAATGAAGAAATTTGCTGGATCAAATCCCAAAAAGGGAGAGTCTTGCCTAGGGCACAGCAGTCTGGCAGTACTATCAGAGTATACTCCTGATACAGTCCTGATTCAGTCTTGGTCGAGCGTTCGTAGCGTGAGGACGTGTTGGAGGATACTCTCGAGGTTCTGTCAGCTAAGTCGTGAGTTAGTTGTTACCTGGCTACTTTGTAGCAGTATTCATAAGTTTTCTGATAGCTACCTCCAACTTCACATTAGATCAGTATCAATCAGCTTAATTACTTTAAGTATTAGCTCATTACTCGTAGTATTCCTTTTACTACAAGGACTAGGACAGTACAGTCTTACCGGGTTACAACTAGTGTGAAGTACTGCAAAGTATAAGTCTAAAGCAGTAGGAGTGTCAATAGGGATCAATAACA